TTCAAAAACATAGAACCATATAAGAATCCTACCTTTTATCCAGTTTGTTGTTCAGTTGACCCAGAAACAAACCTGAATGTCACTTTGCAAACTTCCTTTTTCAATTTAAAGCAGGTTGGAATTTAAAGTTTGCAGCATTAAGACTTGCGGACTTCAACTCCCAGAATTCCACAGCCAGGCATGCTCGGTTCCAATTTAAAGCAATAGCATTTTTTTTTCTACTTTGGTGAATCCCAGTTAAAAAATGAGATTCCTTCTTTCTTTTTCTTTCTCCCTTCCTTCCTCCCTCTCCCCCCCACCCTCTTTTAGTTTTTGAAACCACTTTTCCCTTGCCTGAACGGGTAAGGGAAAAAGGGCTTTAAAAAAAAGCTTCTGTCAGAGGTTCGGGGGCATGGCCTAGCCACCATTGCTATCGGTCCAGTCTGGTACGCCAGATTTTCACTATCACTTCTGGCGTACCGGACAGGACTGGGAGGAAGCCATCTCTGATGCGCATGCGCGGCAGAGCTGAACTGAGGGGATGGCCCGCATGCCATCAGAGAGGGCGCTGCGTGCCACCTCTGGCACGTGTGCCATAGGTTTGCCATCACTGCTCTAGATTGTTAAATGAATGTTGATAACAAATGGAATATTTTCAAATTTTCTTTTAAGTGTTCAAAAAACTGCCGGGTTATCCTCATACTTGATGACCTTCTGATGACCTTGAGTGGTTTGTATCATGCCACAAAAATGCACAGGCCACAAATTGTATGTTTAAGAAGTACAGGGAAATTTGTTAAGTTGTGGCATATTAACTACATTTGGTTTTTTTTTAACGTAATTTTAAATTAAGTTTCTCTGTAATTTAAAGCCAATCAAATTTACTTTTTGAAGTAGGGCTCCCACTCTCCATTCAAAGGTAAAATAAAGGCTATGCCAGAAACAGAAAGCAAACCTTTCCTTTAATGTTATGACGGTTATTGGTTTCCTTTTGGATACTGAAGATGAAATAACTGTTCTGCGTTTGTGAATGTGAGTTTTAAGGAACAAATTTGCATCATATGTGTGGTCCTATGATATTGGCTCTTTTTGAGAACTAATATATTTCTTGCTTGGATGAAACTGCAGCAAATCTAGCCTTTTATTATTAAAAAAGAAACAGAAATCAAACCTCTATAAAATTTATGAGCACCGTAACTTCCTTCCCAATTTACAAGAGTTTCCGCCTATCTTTTAGGCTTCAGATCTTTCATGGGAAAGTACAGCTAGACATCTGTTCAGCTTCACTTTATAGAAATTGATTGGTTTGGACTTAGGTATTGGAAATACCTAAATAAATATACTTTAGGCGTTTAGGAAATATAAAATGTACTTTATGACCGTGGCACGACAAAACCGCGGTCCACTAAAGCGCGCCCGATTAAAGCGCGTACCTGACATCATCACAGCGCGACGAAAAC